CTAGCAGACATTACTAGCGTTTACCAGACACACACAACAGACATAACTAGCGTTTACCATATATAACCAGCAGACATTACTAGCGTTTACCATATATAACCAGCAGACATTACTAGCATTTACCAGATATACACAGCAGACATTACTAGCGTTTACCAGAAATAACGTGCAGACATAACTAGCGTTTACCAGATATACACAGCAGATATAACTAGCGTTTACCAGATATACACAACAGACATTACTAGCGTTTACCAGACATACACATCAGATATTACTAGCGTTTACCAGATATGCACAGCAGACATTAATAGCGTTTACCAGATATAACCAGCAGACATTACTAGCGTTTACCAGATATACACAGCAGACGTTACTAGCGTTTACCAGATATACACAGCCCAGATATACACAACAGACATTACTAGCGTTTACCCGACATACACATCAGATATTACTAGCGTTTACCAGATATCCACAGCAGACGTTACTAGCGTTTACCAAACATACACAGAAGACATTACTAGCGTTTACCAGATATACATACACAGCAGATATTACTAGCGTTTACCAAACATACACACCAGACATTACTAGCGTTTACCAGATATATCCAGCAGACATTACTAGCGTTTACCAGATAAACCCAACAGACATTACTAGCGTTTACCAAACCATACAGCAGACATTACTAGCGTTTACCAGATATACACAGCAGATATAACTAGAGTTTACCAGATATACACAACAGACATTACTAGCGTTTTCCAGACATACACATCAGATATTACTAGCGTTTACAAGATATGCACAGCAGACATTAATAGCGTTTACCAGATATAACCAGCAGACATAACTAGCGTTTACCAGCTATACCCAGCAGATATTACTAGCGTTTACCAGACATACACAACAGACATTACTAGCGTTTACCCGACATACACATCAGATATTACTAGCGTTTACAAGATATGCACAGCAGACATTAATAGCGTTTACCAGATATAACCAGCAGACATAACTAGCGTTTACCAGATATACACAGCAGACGTTACTAGCGTTTACCAAACATACACAGCAGACATTACAAGCGTTTACCAGATATACACAGCAGACATTACTAGCGTCTACCAGACATACCCAGCAGACATAACTAGCGTTTACCAGATATACCCAGCAGACATTACTAGCGTTTACCAGACATACACAGCAGACATTAGTAGCGTTTACCAGATATACACAGCAGACATTACTAGCGTTTACCAAACATACACAGCAGACATTACTAGCGTTTACCAAACATACACAGCAGACATTACTAGCGTTTACCAAACATACCCAGCAGACATTACTAGCGTTAACCAAACATACCCAGCAGACATTACTAGCATTTACCAGATATACACAGCAGACGTTACTAGCGTTTACTAAACATACACAGCAGACATTACAAGCGTTTACCAGATATACACAGCAGACATTACTAGCGTTTACCAAACATACACAGCAGACATTACAAGCGTTTACCAGATATACACAGCAGACATTACTAGCGTTTACCAGACAGACCCATCATTATCATTAACTGGTATTAAGAAAGATTATACGATAAAAAAACAAGATTAGCATAAATAATTTCAAAATATTTATCAGTATGACAAACAACGGCTTCAATATGATATTACAATGTAATTACATGTAGCTGTTCCTATGTATGTACGAACACCTATTGAGCTCATTTTCGTACATGAAAAAAAAATACGATATATAACATGACACTTTCGCCAAATAATTTCTCCAAAGTTTTGCTTTTTTTCGCCAAACTCTCGCTTTATATCGCGAACATTTTATATTTTTCATCTACGAAAATGAGCTCAATAGTCTTTCGTTGTATGGAGGGTCAACTACATGATATTCCTTAGGAAATTTTGGACGGTAAAATAACTGTCTGTAGGTAACACCATATGACTTCATTATATATACCGTACAGTGTATGTTTCAGTCACATACTTATATTGATAGGTCTCTTGCCTTCCAGAAAGTCCTGTCTCGTTAATAGAATTCCTGTCAAAGCATGCATGTTTTTAAACAAACAACAGACTCCCATGGAAGCTGTTATTAATTTAACCTTAGTATACGTTATATATAAACTTTTTAGTACCATAGCTATAATTAACCAGGCAATTGTTAAATGTCATGACCAGTTCTGCCAAATTTCTGTAAATACGAATGCCTTCCAATCAATGACGGACAAAGTGTTGAATGCTATAAAGACCACTAAAACCAATAAGACACGGAGGATTTATTTTAAGACATTTCCTCATAATAATATAAAACCAAACTAGATAATGGAATTAAATGGCCACAGCCTCATTTAATGTCAAATTGTACAACCTCAGAACATGGCGGGCAGGTTAACCAAGTAGTCCTCCAGGTAAATCTTTGGCCGGACATTAAATACAAATAGTATACCAAGGGCACGCAAAAGCAAGATCCCTGCTGAATATCTACCCGCAGGTACCGGACATAAAGCCACTTGCTCTCTGACCTTGCAGAGTTTGCATGTATTTGTACCAAAACCGCTCTCACACCCATGGCAAGACGGTAACCAACATCTCCAACTTGGAGAACCATAATCACCAATCCCACTTTAGCTCCCAGGGATTCACTTGGCAAGCATTAGTGGGTTGGTTACTATTAATTAGACTATGCACATCCCCGCCACAAACTCCTAGGATACCACCATAGCGAGTTTAGATTAGTCTGCTAGGGTAACCCCTAGCAACACTATTGACAAGTCAGTACACAGCCTAATAATATACAACACAAATACATATTACAAAACAGAAAAATGTATAATTATATGCCTGCCCGCCATGTCCTGCCACTCGGGACTGTCTATACAGTTCCGCCATCTCCAAACAAAACCCATCTGAGGTTGTACACCATGTTAGCTATAAAACATGCTCTAATCAAACATAAATGCGTCAGTTTCTACAAATTTCTCAATAGCTCCTTGTAATGTGTTGATAAATATGGCATTGCCTACATCTGTTAAGTGATTTGCACAATACACAATATATATACAAACACACATAAATGAGTAGCATTGAAATAACCAACAGAAAAATGAGGATATAATAGCTCTGGAGGAAATAGGATCTTAACCTGTTTAATTTTGCGTGATGCATTTGTCAACCTGTATATTTAAATGCTGTATTTTACAACGCTAAAACGCCATTTCCCGCAGGTTTACAAATTCAAAGGCCATTCTGTGGCATGTTAATTGATATTGTAAAGTTTTATTGTTTCGTTGGTACTTTTTTTTGCACATGTTTTGAAATGAGTCTGATGAATCTCAATGGTGTCACCCTAAATAAATCTGATCAATCTCAATGGTGTCACCCTAAATAAATCTGATGAATCCCATTGGTGTCACCCGTATGTGTTTACTCTGTGTGATGGTTTACTTGTTATGTACTTAACCTGTTGACTTGGTCCCTCTATACTGACTATTTACAAAAAAAATCACTTAATAAAAGTCATTGTCTATGAAGAATCACACATACCCATTATGGTTGTGGACATATGGCCGATATAAGATTACTGATAAAAGTAAACATTTCTTATCTCTCACAAAAACAACACCAGGGAGTTTCCTAATATACCTATCTCACACCGAATAGCTCGCTCTGTCCGTCCGTCGTCAACTTTCCCTTTAAAATAAACTTTAATTTATTTCTTTAACAATTATGAAGCATGCTCATCTTTTCAACTTATATTAATCACTCTTGTTGGCCCGGATGATAGCGCGCGGGTTCTTAATGTGGTAGAAAACTGGAGTACCCGGAGAAAACCCAAGTGGTCGGGCAGGTGACCCCATACCTTTTCACGTCTGATCGGAGAATCGAACCCCGGCCGCCTTGGTGAAAGGCAAGTCTTTGACTAATTATCAAGGTCACAGGAGGGAAATAGGTCTAAAATTTAAAACGACTTCTCCTGAAGAACTGATAGGCCTAGAGCTGTGATATAAGACTTGTAAATTCCGTAGATGGAGCCAAACAAAGTTTCCGAACAAAACTGACATTGACGTACATTTAAAACATCAAACGACTTCTTCTGGAGAACCAAAAGCCTAACGTCGTGATATAAGGCGTTTAGCCTCCTTGGATGGAGCCTTACAAAGTGTATGCGAATAAAAATGACCTTGACCTACTTTCATTGAAGGTCACATAGATCAAATATGTCTACGGCTTCAAACAACTTCTTCCGAAGAACCAAAATGCATATAGTCTTGTTATAGGGCTGGTAGATTCCTTAGATAAAGCCCAACAAGGTTTGTGAACAAAAGTGACATTAACCCACTTTCAAGGTCACATAGGTCTAAAACTTCAAACAACTTCTTCTGCAGAACCGAAAGATCAAGAGTCATGATGTAAGACTGGTAGATTCCTTGATTGGAGCCGAACCAAAGTTTGTGAATAAAAATGACTTTGAACTAATTTCGAGGTCACTCAGGTCAAATACGTGAACATGTTAAAATGACTTCTTCTAAGGAACCAAAACGTACATAGTCATGATATTTGGCTGGTAGCTTTCTGAGGTGGAGCCTTACAAAAATGCAAAAAATGACCTTGAGTTATTTTTTGAGGTCACAGATGTCAAATATTGTATAAATGTAAAACAACTCCTGAAAAATCCATAAACTTGATAAAAGTGTATGAATCCAAAAGTGTATGAATCCATATGTGGTTTTGAATTGAAATAACTTATTCCCATGTGAGCTTTTAAAGCCTCAGGGCACCCTGTTTATGTTTTAAATTTTATTTCATTGCTAATAATTATTTTAAAAAAGGAGAAGGAAGTCAATACTGTATATAACAAATACACGTTATATCTTTCTAAAAATCAATCGTTGCCAAAAATTAGCGGGAACCAATTTGATAAAACGAAATAATCCGGAATATATCGTGTCCATTTTATCATTAGTTTACGATAAACAACTTCCTGTGTCTTGACGTTGGAACTTCCTGTTTCATACTTTCGTTTTGAAAATTGCTTATGATGTCATACTACAGGAACGACACGTATTTACTACTCTGAGATATACGTTATTTGGTGAATGGCACATTTTCTGAAGGTATTTGGATATTGACACATTATACTGGAACACGTCACCTGAAACAGGCAGCTCCGACAGACGTTTGGACAGCAGGTTATCTATGTTTTAGTTATCCAGTTATCTGTCGAATTGTCTATTATGATCTACATATGTATTTGTTATCAAACTATGTTAGTTCCGTGTCAAATCTTTATGATTTTGTCGTTCATTTGAAATGTATATTTAATGTAACGATTTTTTCAATGCATCGCATGTAGATTTGCCGGTGCTCCAGTACGTATCTGCATGTATAGGCCTAGTAGATATAGTATTGCTCAGGAGTCTGAAATTCTGTCAAAAATTAATAATAACAGCAATACCGAAAAAATCATATATGCTTTCTATTTTCTAAGCACATCTTTTTTTTTTAATTATTGTTATTATTATTTTTGACAGTTAATTAAACTCCTGTGATAAGTATAACAGGAGCAGGAAAACGCCAGCACTGGATTCAAATCAAAGATTCTCCAGACCTCTACAGGAACGCTCATCCAATTGAGCTACCTGTTTGCTGATGATTGACCCCATCAAGTTCCGCTTCATTTCTCTCCTCTTTTTCAAAGTCATCGCCCCTGAAAACAACTATTTACAATCCAGGTTCAGATATCCCCTTGTCAAGCACTCACCTAGTACTTGAAACAAAGGTTAGTCACTACGAGACACCAAATGTTATATGAAAGGGAAAATGCACGGCCAGACAAGGGTTTAAAGCTGGGACCATCTGAACTCTAGACGAACGCACTACCAATTGAGCTACCTGGTCGCCAGCCTGCAAAGTTGGACACATGTACAACACAGCAGTGCCTTGTGTCCCCTCCTCACATACAACACAGCAGTGCCTTGTGTCCCCTCCTCACATACAAAACTGTGTTCAATGCAAAGAAGATACATGTATATCTATTGATAACTGACTAATTCTTCTTGGTGACATTTATGTAAAATTGTGTTCTTCAGAAAAGATTTCCAAATATCAATTAACTTATTTTCTTTTAATTATCCCACAGTGTCTGGAACAAGACTTTTTTTAAATAACTGTTGACTCCAATCTGGTATGGCCAGTTATATGCGAAAAACCAACCTAATAGAGGGCATTGGCGATGAATTGATAGTTGCTCTTGCTGCCTTTCTCGGAATACTCATACCCATGGTTATATTCGTATCAAGGAGAAGGTAAGTGAATTGTTTTCATGATCCTCATTAATCTGTCCAATGGCAACATATAGGGATTACTTGGTCCATTTTTATGTGCGTTAAATGAATGATTGAATTTCAATCAAACTGGCCAATTGTGCAAACAGCCAAAGCCCATCTCACATTGAGGCCAATGGCTGGCAATGTCTTATATATTTAATCAGGCTATCGATATCAGATTAGTTGATGGTTTTTGGATGATATCTTTTCAAGAATTGTAGATTCCTATTGAAATTGCCTAGTATCATGTGCTCACTAAAAAAGTCTAGCTGAAAGTTGATAACTGACCAAATTATCAAATATTTAGTGATGCTGTTGGGATCCATGAAAGTTTGAATACATATCAGATAAGTTGTGCCTTTTGCTATTTGAGAATTCTTATTTTCAATATTTTTCTTGATATCATGGAAACAAATTCTCCCAAATTCTAAATTCACTTTTCCCTTGCTTTTTTTCTGGGCCATAACTTGAAAATCATTTCAGTTAGTTACAAAACTTGGTAGACACACCAGACTAGTTCCTTTGAGTTTTTTTCATTTTTTTTTTCATTACATGTATAAAAACAACTTGACCAAATTCACTGTTTTAAGTATCAGAAAGTCATACTTGTAACACAAGTGTCATGTAACGCCTGATTTTTTTTACTTACTATTTCTTATAAATTTCCTTTCTGCACCTTCTGTTCAAGTTATACACATAGCTTTTATTAGATATTAATAACTATCTGTAAATTTAAAAATTAGCCTCCTATTCAAATACATATATTACATGACGTACCAGAGCTTACTGACTGTCTGAGCGATTAATTCTGGCCCATAACAAACTGTACTTTAAAACCTCAACAATAAAACACAAGCTCTACATCAAATGTCAGTTGAGTGCTCAAATGTAGTTGACATGTATGTCTTTTTCCTTGGCCATCTTTTGAACAGTAAAAACCTTGGGAGATTTTACCTGGCTTTGCTCTGTTTTGTATAAAGTATTTTTACACTTCACTTAAACATGAGCCATTGCATGGGACGTACCCCACATTTATTGTAAAATCATCTTTTAATCTGTTAAATAGGTGCAGTATAAAGTAAACTTAAATTGTCACAGATGTCAAATTAAAATAATTTGTATCATTTTGTAGAAACAATTCAGAGCAGTATGTTACCCATCCGGACAATGAAGATAATGTGAGATCTGCTCGAGAAAGAATCCACGGAAATCAGAACGGAGCAGGGCCGTCAGTGGGTGATGAGAATCGGTCAAATGCATACCGAGCCAGAGAAGCCCACAGTCATGGGCAAACAAACCTCAGCTGTCCAATCTGCCTTGGTGAAATGGAATACGGTGTGGATACCAATTGTGGACATTATTTCTGTGGTAAGTATGTAATATGTTCATGTAGCTGTTCATTGTAGGCTAAATCAAATATGTGTAGCACTTATGTAGTCCAAACCGAGTGACAGGATCTCCTCCTCCTCCTCAAATTTTCCATTGTTTTTTTTCTTTCCGAAAACCTTGGTCCCATGTTCTTGAAACTGCACATCAATGATCACTAGCATCTCAAGTTAAAGGTACAATGTAATATGCATGTAGATCTCCTCCCTGACAGAAAAAGGACTATTTCTCAACCCTACCAAGAACACAAGTACATAGTCTACCTTCTTAAATAAGAGACCAGAAATTCCAGCTATATCCCTCAAGCATCTGATAAAGCATACGACTCTGAGTATATATTTCACTCACATCCTGGAAGTGTAATCCACAGCACTATTTATATCACTATGCCAATTTCATTGCTTCTAATCTTCCCAAATACATTAATTTTAAGCTCAACTATCATTGTGACTGGGTGGAATACAGTGCCTTCGGCATGGTATTTCAGTGAGATAGCACTATAAAGATGGCATCAGATCCGAGCTGTTACACTCGTCTGCTGAATAACTGAACTACTCGGTAGTGAAGCAGATGTAAAACCACTCAAACAAACAAACAAAAGGACTATCACAAGGAGGCAAAAACCTCAACATACCCTGCCTCAAACACAAGTTTCAATTGTGCATATAATGTGACTAGATGGAATATTGTGCTTGATGCCTTCGATATGGTACGTTAGTGAGGTAGCACTCGAAAGCTGGCATCAAGTCCATGCTAACCCCCCCTCCCACCAACATACCCTGCCACCAGCACACATGCACTACTCACAAAGAGGCTCGTCCTTAAATGACTTAAGCTGTTACAGCCTTAAATCCTATAAAACTAAAACCAAATTTTAGTTGGAGCTATGATAATGGGAAGATAACTCTTTATGTAACTTAAATTTGCAGTAACCATTACAGGGAGATAACTCTTTTTGTAGGTAACTGCATCATAGCCTACTGGCAGCATGGAAGTTGGCTTGGAGCTGTGGCGTGTCCTGTTTGTCGACAGCAAGTAGGTATCCTTGCATCATAATATGCTTTTATTTTATAAGACAATATGATATTACTCAGCCAAGAACTGCTACTTTTTAAATACATTTTATATTTTGTAATACATCCTTTGCTACATCTGTATTAGCAATTGATGATTCATCCATTCTATCCAATCCTCGATATCCAGGGGTTACGCTCACTTTGGTTCTCTACACCCCTGGAATATGTCATAGCAAAATTGAAGGCACGTGCGTGGCTAGCTATTTGATTGGTGTCAGGTTAAAAATACCGACCAATTGCTAGGCTGATACCTGTCCTTTGAAGCTTACAAAGGAGCGATGCCCGACTTCAAAGCCTTTCGTTTGTTACCGTTACGCGACCGTGTTATTCTTTTGATGTACATCAAAGGACCAAACTTGTCTTCTCATCTCCTCCACAAGGTGCGGCACATTGAGCCTTTGATTTTGCTATGACATGTTCCAGGGGTGTAGAGAGGGAAAGTGAGCTTAACCCCAGGATATTGAGGATGGTTCTATCTTTGTTCAGGAGCTAACATGAAATACTGTATACTGGAAAAAATTTGCCCTCCGCCCATATAACCAATTTTCGCCCAGTGTTAATTTCGCCCTTCCTAGTGAATTACTATGTATATTATGCTGTTAACTTATTTTAGCTGTAATGATAAATTCGCCATCATTACGGACAGAGAACAAGGCGGAAATTTAAGTGCAGCTAAAATTTCCCAGTAAACAGTATATGGATAGAAAGGTACCTATGTCATGTTCCTCAGAGCCAACAAAAATCAGTCTGTTTAAATTGAACATTAAATGAAGCTGATTCTAGACTTTTCTTCCTTAATCATTGTAAGTGTGTTTCTGTTCTTTATTCTATAGGTAACACTTCTCTTAGTGGCGTTTTCTCCAGAGGAGATGAATAACAATAGCGAAGAAAAAGCCAATATAATGCGTGAAATCAACAGCTACAATCGGCGCTTTTCGGGCCAACCCAGATCGGTTAGTACAATGTATAACCTTTCATGTCAAATATGTACAATAAACAGGAGGCACAGTAGTCTAGTGGTAGGACGCCGGGCTCGCGACCGAAGGCTTGCGCGTTCGAGTCACGGCACGGCACTGTGTTGTATCTTTGAGCAAGATACTTTACTCCACTTGTTCTGGTCTACTCTAAGATACTTTACTCCGCTTGTTCTAGTCTACTCTGCTGTAAATGAGGCAGTGCTAGAATTGTTGAATGCTAGCTGTGAGTGCCGAAATGGCAGTACCGGCTGTATGCTCCCCAGGGAGTTGAGAAAGATATTGGCTGGTTGCAAAGGCCCTATAACCACGGAAAATGATTTGTGAACTGCTTTGAGATGACCTTCGAACTAGGTTGTGATAAAGCGGTATAGAAGAACTTCAAATTATTATCATTATCATTATTACAAAGAAGACCTGATTTTAACAGCAACATCATGAAACTTTCCAATTGTTAATGGAACCTTTTCTATGGGTGCACAACTATACAACTGTCAAGGCATATTATATTTATAATCGTTTTCTTTTTAAAGTGTTAAGGGAGATAATTCTTCACCCTTTCAGACCATGTACAAAAGTGAAGAGTAGAAATAATATATAAGAATACAAAATGTCTCGCTATTTACCGGTATGATTGTGTTGACAGATTGGCGAACACCTACGGGACCTGCCGACATTGATGAGACATTTCGTAGGGGAATTTTTTACCGTTGGCGGACTAATATGGATGTTTCGGCTCCGAGTTATTGTGTGTTTTCTGGCGGCCCTGCTGTACTTCATATCTCCGTTAGACATCATACCAGAGGCCATGTTTGGATTGTTCGGCTTCTTGGACGACTTGTTTATCTTACTTTTACTGGCAATATATATTAGCATAATCTACAGGCAAGTCGTTCAGAACCGAGCTGGTGCCCACTGATAGGCAGAAGTCCCGAAGTATCTCCTAAAGTGCCCTCATTTGAGACCTGTTATCACTAAAGCTGAAAATTTGTACAAATAACAATTGAATATTCGGATTGTATACACCTCTGCCTGAAGTGGTTGAATCAACTGAAATGCAGTTCTACATACTTATCAATGCATCTGAATGTTATTTAATTTGTTTTGTGCATCCTTATGGAATCTATACGAGTTAATAATGTATTATTACATGACATGACAGTTAAATAGTGTACCTAATTTATATAAGTATAAACAATGTGGTAATAATATTTATTACAAATCTTATTTACATTAACTCCTTTGTTTTATTCCTTTTAGATATAACAAATTTTTCCGTTGATATTAGGACTATTTTTTTCCTGTAAGTATAGTCGTTGTGTGTTGTATGAAGTTTTACTAAAACATGTCCATTGTGCAAACCTAGAATACTGATATCTGCTTGAAGACAAAAATTTTGCTAATATCTGGGCCAACAAGAGTGATTTATATAAGTTGAAATAGCTTGTTTCATAGTTGTTGTAAAATAAATAAAGTTTATATTTAATAGTACTGTCTGTGGTAAATGTCAAACTTAGTAAAAAAAACTAAACGTCTAAAAAAAACACCAGTTATGGCCCTTCATTCTCAATATGCAAGTATTTTATATGGGGTTTTACCTGAAATTGACTGATATTTTTATGCCTTTACCTCATGGGATTACAAATTGTTGTGTACTAAAGTCAGATCAGTGCCCAAAATATGTAGCGATTTAAGACCTTTATTCATTTTTGTCATTTTGATATAAGCGTTTGAGATGGGGAACTATGAATTGCTTGCAATATTTTGTCATATTTTTCTATTTGATTGTAGTTTTATATGGCTTTATAAATCTGCTATGCAAAAGTGACAGTACACAATGAAGGGATGAGTATTTTAGCCTATGTTTTGATCTAGAGATAGATTGATGGTACACGATTTATGGATTGAGTGAGGAATTCTTTTCAGCTCATGGAAATAAAAAGTTGACCCAAGGAATCGTAAACTCCTGGTTTTGTTATTTCACTTATTAATCACCCTGTCAGACAGTACGTGGTGTTATTGTAAATGTTTGATGCTTGATATTTATACACATATTTTGTGAAATATCATCAAGTATGATCTGTCCTTTAAAGATTAGAGGAGCCACACCCGACGTTATAGCAAGTCTTTTTTTTTACCATAATTGGGTTGACAGATTCTTTTAGTTTATATCAAAGAATCAAACTAGGCTTCTTGTCTCATCCACAAGGATGTGCACACTGAGCCTTCGATTTTGCTACAACATATTCCAGGGGTGCAGACAGTGGCTCAAGCATACACTAACATTTTTAAGAAGGTTTTTGTTTAATCATATATTTTTACTAATTTCTTTTTTTTATGATTAATATGGACTGTCTGTATCAATCATAAAAATGGAAAGAAATAAAAAAATCTTCTTGAAAATTTATGTTATATCAATGATTTAGATAGCCTTATCTCATTCTGTGCTTATATCTACATATATCCACTGGAAAATCTGGAAGGTTTATGTAAATCAAAAACTACTTAGTTAAGTACAAAATTGACAAACATGAAAAATCCAAAACTTGTATCATCAATCTTATATGAAGGGAAACGAATGACAGGTTCTTTTTATCATATAATACAAATAAAACTGTATAATAGTGATCTGAAACAAAATTTTTTTTTACCTGGCCACCTCTGAAAGGATGAAAATTGTGTCCGCTTCACAATGACGTGACTTCACATTGATTGTTCATATTCGATTGTGACGTCATTTCCGGAGTGATATTACACACGTTACATAAACATACCTTGTGTTCTTTTATCGGGTTTGTACCAGTTGTACCGATTCGGTACGGTATTAAATAATGGAACGCCATTTATGTGGTAAGATTGTGATGTTGTTAGTGTGGTAAGATTGTGATGTTGTTAGTGTGGTAAGATTGTGATGTTGTAAGTGTGGTAAGATTGTGATGTTGTTTGTGTGGTAAGATTGTGATGTTGTTTGTGTAGTAAGAATGTGATGTTGGTGTGGTAAGATTGTGATGTTGTTAGTGTGGTAAGATTGTGATGTTGTTTGTGTGGTAAGGTTGTGGTGTTGTTAGTGTGGTAAGATGGTGATGTTGTTTGTGTGGTAAGATTGTGATGTTGTTAGTGTGGTAAGATTGTGATGTTATTAGTGTGGTAAGATTGTGATGTTGTTTTGTGGTAAGATGGTGATGTTGTTTGTGTGGTAAGATGGTGATGTTGTTTGTGTGGTAGGTTGTGGTGTTGTTAATGTGGTAAGATGGGGATATTGTTTGTGTGGTAAGGTTATGGTGTTGTTAATGTGGTAGGATGGTGATATTGTTTGTGTTGTAAGAATGTGATGTTGTTTGTGTGGTAAGGTTGTGGTGTTGTTAATGTGGTAAGATGGTGATATTGTTTGTGTGGTAAGAATGTGATGTTGTTTGTGTAGTAAGATTGTGATGTGGTTAGCGTGGTAAGGTTGTTGTGTTAGTGTGGTAAGATGGTGATATTGTTTGTGTGGTAAGGTTGTGGTGTTGTTAGTGTGGTAAGAATGTGATGTTGTTAGTGTGGTAAGAATGTGATGTTGTTAGTGTGGTAAGATTGTGATGTTGTTATTGTGGTAAGATTGTGATGTTGTTATTGTGGTAAGATTGTGATGTTGTTATTGTGGTAAGATTGTGATGTTGTTTTGTGGTAAGATGGTGATGTTGTTTGTGTGGGAAGATGGTGATGTTGTTTGTGTTTTAAGATTGTGATGTTGCTAGTGTGGTAAGATTGTGATGTTGTTTTGTGGTAAGATGGTGATGTTGTTTGTGTGGAAAGAATGTGATGTTGTTTGTGTGGGAAGATGGTGATGTTGTTTGTGTGGGAAGATGGTGATGTTGTTTGTGTTTTAAGATTGTGATGTTGCTAGTGTGGTAAGAATGTGATGTTGTTTGTGTGGTAAGGTGGTGATGTTGTTTGTGTGGTAAGGCTGTGGTGTTGTTAGTGTGGTAAGATGGTGATGTTGTTTGTGTTTTAAGATTGTGATGTTGTTAGTGTGGTAAGATTGTGATGTTATTAGTGTGGTAAGATTGTGATGTTGTTTGTGTGTTAAGAGTATGATGTTGTTTGTGTGGTAAGATTGTGATGTTGTTAGTGTGGTAAGATGGTGATATTGTTTGTGTGGTAAGATGGTGATGTTGTTAGTGTGGTAAGATGGTGATTTTGTTAGTGTGGTAAGATGGTGATATTGTTTGTGTGGTAAGATTGTGATGTTTGTGTGGTAAGATTGTGATGTTTGTGTGGTAAGATTGTGATGTTGTTGGTGTGGTAAGATGGTGATGTTGTTAATGTGGTAAGATGGTGATATTGTTTGTGTGGTAAGATTGTGATGTTTGTGTGGTAAGATTGTGATGTTTGTGTGGTAAGATTGTGATGTTGTGTGTGTGGTAAGAATGTGATGTTGTTTGTGTGGTAAGATGGTGATGTTGTGTGTGTGGTAAGAATGTGATGTTGTTATTGTGGTAAGATTGTGATGTTGTTTGTGTGGTAAGAATGTGATGTTGTTAGTGTGGTAAGATGGTGATGTTGTTTGTGTGGTAAGATTGTGATGTTGTGTGTGTGGTAAGAATGTGATGTTGTCATTGTGGTAAGATTGTGATGTTGTTTGTGTGGTAAGATTTTTATGTTGTTAGTGTGGTAAGATTGTGATGTTGTTTGTGTGGTAAGAGTATGATGTTGTTTGTGTGGTAAGATGGTGATGTTGTTAGTGTGGTAAGAATGTGATGTTGTTAGTGTGGTGAGAATGTGATGTTGTTTGTGTGGTAAGAATTTGATGTTGTTTGTGTGGTAAGATTGTGATGTTGTGTGTGTGGTAAGAATGTGATGTTGTTATTGTGGTAAGATTGAACGCCATTTATGTGGTAAGATTGTGATGTTGTTAGTGTGGTAAGAATGTGATGTTGTTAGTCTGGTAAGAATGTGATGTTGTTAGTGTGGTAAGAATGTGATGTTGTTTGTGTGGTAAGGTGGTGATGTTGTTTGTGTGGTAAGATTGTGATGTGGTTAGCGTGGTAAGGTGGTGATGTTGTTTGTGAGGTAAGAATGTGATGTTGTTTGTGTGGTAAGAATGTGATGTTGTGTGTGTGGTAAGATTGTGATGTGGTTAGCGTGGTAAGGTGGTGATGTTGTTAGTGAGGTAAGAATGTGATGTTGTTTGTGTGGTAAGATTGTGATGTTGTTTGTGTGGTAAGAGTATGATGTTGTTTGTGTGGTAAGATGGTGATGTTGTTTGTGTGGTAAGATTGTGATGTTGTTTGTGTGGTAAGGTTGTTGTGTTTGTGTGGTAAGATGGTGATGTTGTTTGTGGGGTAAGATTGTGATGTTGTTAGTGTGGTAAGATGGTGATGTTGTTTGTGTGGTAAGATTGTGATGTTGTTAGTGTGGTAAGGTTGTTGTGTTAGTGTGGTAAGATGGTGATGTTGTTAGTGTGGTAAGAATGTGATGTTGTTTGTGTTGTAAGAATGTGATGTTGTTTGTGAGGTAAGGCTGAAATTCCGTTTGTTAGGTTATAGTGCAATTTTACTTCTTTTCTATGATTGTGATGTTTGTGCGATAAAACTGTTGAAGATTTGTTTTAACTGAACTAATAATAACAAACACTCAATTAATTTGGGAAAAACAACGTTTTACTAATGTGTAAACTACAAAAAAACAGGTTAATAAATAAATAAATAAATAAAAATACTTCAAGACCCTGGATTTTAATCATATTTTGCCATAATAGTTTTCGAACCATCTAGCGTGTTTTCGTATTTTTCAAAATATTATGTTTATGTGAAATTTTTTTTACGCTTTTGTCGTTTTGAAATGATAAAACATGAAATAGGCTTTCAATAGCGTGTAAAATTAATCGCGTACAGAAAAGAACACCCCATTATTCAAAATATAAAGAAGAGAGGTCAAAGACATATTCTAGTTTACTATTAGTTACAGACATATTTAAAATCAAGTTGGTAATGTATTGTATATAACTGTCTGTGGTGTTAATGTAGCCTATCCAAATCTCGCGTGTGCTAACTATAGAGAACGCCTACAAGATGAAGCGCTCATTGCAAATCGAGTTTTTCAGTGGTTTACTCCTTTGGAGCGGACTATTTCCGTCTAGAGTCAGGGAATTTTCTCTCTGTGTGAGTACAAGTATGTCCATACCAAACCATTTATAATCTCTAATCTGCAGTCAATACATACTCCGACAAGTCGAAGGTTTCCTGTTTTGAACCTGCGGTGTTGATCTCATCCTCCCCAAATACCCTGCTCAACAGGACGGAAGCATACGTTCACTTCGGTTGTGGCACTGCTAGTGCTAAGTTGTTGGATTACAGTCGTGAAAATAAGACTGAAACAGTCCTGAAAAAAATCAATTAAACCCTTTATCCCATGAACAGTAATTAGCATGTTAATGGACACAATTCCCAAGCATTGGCGACCGACAAATGACGCCATGTTCTCGCTTGAGTGAAACTGAACTAGGCAAGAATTTACACACACTTCCAGCCAGACTGACACTTTTGGCACAGATCTGCTCGGTGTGGCTTTTTTGGATCCACGTGGTGCTTGTTGTAAGAGGCGTTGCTGTCGTTTTCATCGCCATTTTCATCTTCGTCGTCTTCAAATTCGTCATCGTTATCGTAGCCACACTTTCCCTTACATATGTTTGCAGGTAATCCACAATTACCACATTTTATGACTTCTACTTTGTACGGGTTACATGCTCTCCTGCAGTTCTCGCATTCTTGTTTGAAGAATACCTAGAAACATTTTTTTTTAAGATTGTGAATATTTTGAAAAAAATATAAAGAGGTGGAAAAATAAACTTCATATTCTGACGTTTTCCAATCATCGTCTCGATTGTATGCACCCAACGTATTCTTTGGTTATTAAAACATGCAGAGAACGAACCTATCTTAATGATTAAAACACGTTAGAGAACGAACCTATCTTAATGGTTAAAACACGTTAGAGAACAACCCTATTTTAATGGTTAAAACACGTCAGAGAACGAGCCTATCGTAATGGTTAAAACACGTCATAGAACAAACCTATCTTAATGGTTAAAACCCGTTAGAGAACGAACCTATCTTAATGTTTAAAACACGTCAGAGAACGAACCTATCCTAATGGTTAAAACACGTCAGAGAACAAGCATATCTTAATGGTTAAAACACGTCAGAGAACGAGCCTATCGTAATGGTTAAAACACGTCATAGAACAAACCTATCTTAATGGTTAAAACACATACGAGAACACCCCTATCTTAATGGTTAAAACACGTCAGAGAACACCCCTATCTTAATGGTTAAGACACGTCAGAGAACGAACCTATCTTAAAGGTTAAAACACGTCAGAGAACAACCCTATCTTAATGGTTAAAGCACGTCAGAGAACAAACCTATATTAATGGTTAAAACACGTCAGAGAACACCCCTATCTTAATGGTTAAGACACGTCAGAGAACGAACCTATCTTAAAGGTTAAAACACGTCAGAGAACAACCCTATTTTAACGGTAAAAACACGTCAGAGAACAAACCTATCTTAATGGTTAAACACGGCAGAGAACAACCCTATCTTAATGGTTAAAACCCGTCAGAGATCAACCCTATCTTAATGGCAAAAACACCTCAGAGAACGAACCTATCTTAATGGTTTAAACACGTCAGAGAACAACACTATCTTAATGGTTAAAACACGTTAGAGAACGATCCTATCTTAATGGTTAAAACACGTCAGAGAAAAAACCTATATTAATGGTTAAAACACGTCAGAGAACAACTCTATCTTAATGGTTAAAAGACGTCAGAAAACAAATCTATCTTAATGGTTAAAACACGTCAGCGAACGAACCTATCTTAATGGTTAAAACATGCAGAGAACAAACCTATCTTAATGGTAAAAACACGTCAGAGAACAACCCTATCTTAATGGTTAAAGCACGTCAGAGAACAAACCTATATTAATGGTTAAACCACGTCAGAGAACGAACCTATCTTAATGATTAAAACACGTTAGAGAACTAACCTATCTTAATGGTTAAAACATGCAGAGAACAAACCTATCTTAATGGTAAAAACACCTCAGAGAACGAACCTATCCTAATGGTTAAAACACGTCAGAGAACAAGCATATCTTAATGGTTAAAACACGTCAGAAAACAAACCTATCTTAATGGTTTAAACACGTCAGAGATCAACCCTATCTTAATGGCAAAAACACCTCAGAGAACGAACCTATCCTAATGGTTAAAAAACGTCAGAGAACAAACCTATCTTAATGGTTAAAACCCGTCAGAGAACGAACCTATCGTAATGGTTAAAACACGTCATAGAACAAACCTATCTTAATGGTTAAAACCCGTCAGAGATCAACCCTATCTTAATGGCAAAAACACCTCAGAGAACGAACCTATCTTAATGGTTAAAACATGCAGAGAACAAACCTATCTTAATGGTTAAAACCCGTTAGAGAACGAACCTATCTTAATGTTTAAAACACGTCAGAGAACGAACCTATCCTAATGGTTAAAACACGTCAGAGAACAAGCATATCTTAATGGTTAAAACACGTCAGAAAACAAACCTATCTTAATGGTTTAAACACGTCAGAGAACAACACTATCTTAATGGTTAAAACACGTTAGAGAATAAACCTATCTTAATGGTTAAAAACACGTTAGAGAACAAACCTATCTTAATGGTTAAACACGGCAGAGAACAACCCTATCTTAATGGTTAAAACACATCAGAGAACAATTATATCTTAATGGTTAAAACACGTCAGAGAACAACTCTATCTTAATGGTTAAAAGACGTCAGAAAACAAATCTATCTTAATGGTTAAAACACGTCAGAGAACGAACCTATCTTACTGGTTAAAACACGTCAGAGAACGAACCTATCCTAATGGTTAAAAAACGTCAGAGAACAAACCTATCTTAATGATTAAAACACGTCGGAGAACAAACCTATATTAATGGTTAAAACGCGTCAGAGAACAAACCTATCTTAATGGTTAAACACGTCAGAGAACAACCCTATCTTAATGGTTAAAACACGTTAGAGAACGATCCTATCTTAATGGTTAAAACACGTCAGCGAACGAACCTATCTTAATGGTTAAAACACGCCAGAGAACAAACCTATCTTAATGGTTAAACACGGCAGAGAACAACCCTATCTTAATGGTTAAAACACGTCAGAAAACTAACCTATCTTAATGGTTTAAACACGTCAGAGAACAACACTATCTTAATGGTTAAAACACGTTAGAGAACGATCCTATCTTAATGGTTAAAACACGTCAGAGAACAAGCATATCTTAATGGTTAAAACACGTCAGAAAACTAACCTATCTTAATGGTTTAAACACGTCAGAGAACAACACTATCTTAATGGTTAAAACACGTTAGAGAACGATCCTATCTTAATGGTTAAAACACGTCAGAGAAAGAACCTATCTTAATGGTTAAAACACATCAGAGAACAACTATATCTTAATGGTTAAAACACGTCAGAAAACAAACCTATCTTAATGGTTTAAACACGTCAGAGAACAACACTATCTTAATGGTTAAAACACGTTAGAAAACAACCCTATCTTAATGGTTAAAACACATCAGAGAACAACTATATCTTAATGGTTAAAACACGTCAGAGAACAAGCCTATCTTAATGGTTAAAACACGTTAGAGAACAACCCTATTTTAATGGTTAAAACACGTCAGAGAACGAACCTATTTTAATGGTAAAACACATCAGAGAACAACTCTATCTTAATCGTTAAAAGACGTCAGAAAACAAATCTATCTTAATGGTTAAAACACGTCAGAAAACAAACCTATCTTAATGGTTTAAACACGTCAGAGATCAACCCTATCTTAATGGCAAAAACACCTCAGAGAACGAACCTATCTTAATGGTTTAAACACGTCAGAGAACAACACTATCTTAATGGTTAAAAGACGTCAGAAAACAAATCTATCTTAATGGTTAAAACACGTAAGAGAACAAACCCATATTAATGGTTTAAACACGTCAGTGAACGAACCTATCTTAATGGTTAAAACAGGTCAGAGAACGAACCTATCTTAATGGTTAAAACACGTCAGAGAACAAACCCATATTAATGGTTTAAACACGTCAGAGAACGAACCTATCTTAATGGTTAAAACACATCAGAGAACAACTCTATCTTAATGGTTAAAAGACGTCAGAAAACAAATCTATCTTAATGGTTAAAACACGTCAGAGAACAACCCTATCTTAATGGTTAAAACACATCAGAGAACAACTCTATCTTAATGGTTAAAACACGTCAGAGAACAAACCTATCTTAATGGTTAAACACGTCAGAGAACAACCCTATCTTAATGGTTAAAACACGTCAAAGAACAACCCTATCTTAATGGTTAAAACACGTTAGAAAACAACCCTATCTTAATGGTTAAAACACATCAGAGAACAACTATATCTTAATGGTTAAAACACGTCAGAAAACAAACATATCTTAATGGTTAACACACGTCAGAGAACAACCCTATCTTAATGGTAAAAACACGTCAGAGAACAACCCTATCTTAATGGTTAAAACACGTCAGAGAACGAACCTATCTTAATGGTTAAAACAGGTCAGTGAACGAACCTATCTTAATGGTTAAAACAGGTCAGTGAACGAACCTATCTTAATGGTTAAAACAGGTCAGTGAACGAACCTATCTTAATGGTTAAAACAGGTCAGTGAACGAACCTATCTTAATGGTTAAAACAGGTCAGTGAACGAACCTATCTTAATGGTTAAAACAGGTCAGTGAACGAACCTATCTTAATGGTTAAAACAGGTCAGTGAACGAACCTATCTTAATGGTTAAAACAGGTCAGTGAACGAACCTATCTTAATGGTTAAAACACGTCAGAGAACAACCCTATCTTCATGGTTAAAACACATCAGAGAACAAACCTATCTTAATGGTTTAAACACGTCAGAGAACAACCCATCTTAATGGTTAAAACACGTCAGAGAACGAACCTATCTTAATGATTAAAACATGTCAGAGAACAACCCTATCTTAATGGTTAAAACACGTCAGAGTAGACACCTTCTTTATTTTCATGGTTAATTTACGAGAGAGTAGACACCCATTTTAATGATTAATAAACGAGACATTAGACACTTATTGTAATGGTTAATAAATGAGAGATAAGACACTTATATTAATGGTTAATAAACAAGAGAGTAGACACTCATTTTAATGGTTAGAAAACAAGAGAGAAGACACTCATTTGAATGGTTAATAAACGAGAGAATAGACACTCATTTTAATGGTCAATAAACGAGAGATTAGACAATCACTTTAATGATTAAAAAACGAGAGAGTAGACAATCATTTTAATGATTAAAAAACGAGAGATTAGACACTCATTTTAATGATTAAAAATCAAGAGCGTATACATCCATTTTAATGATTAAAAAAACCGAAAGATTAGACAATCATTTTAATGATTAAAAAACGAGAGAGTAGACAACCATTTCAATGGTTAAAAAACGCGAGAGTAGACAATCATTTTAATGGTTAATAAAAGAGAGAGTAGACACTTATTTTAATGGTAATTAAACGACAAAATAACATCCATTCTAAACTTACAGCTTTACTATTGAAAAACCTCACAGTAAACACCAATGTTATTAGTTAATAAACATAAGAATAAAAACCCATCTTACAAGTGAATAAACGTCACAGTAAACACCCATCTTATTAGTTAATAAACATCCCCTTTTCTTTGAAATTAACGTCAAACTGAACAACCATCTTACTATATAATTGGTAAACGTAAGAGTAAACACCAATCTTAATTGTAAATATATATATGACTTCGGGTCTTTTCGGTCTCCAGAAGAATTGTTTTTTGAGAGTTAGTGACCTATTTGATCTTGGTGACATAAGTCTAGGTTACTTTTTCCCAAGACTGTGTAGCACTCCATACCAGCAAGGTTCTTTTCGTTCGTTTGAATGCTTTGACAGATTTGCCCCTTGTGACCTTGAATATCGGTTGTAATTGTCTGTGTTGTTTTTGAGAAAAAAACGTTTACGAATGGAGGACGGGCAACGAATCGCAAAAGCTCACCTGGCCCTGCCTTTTTTTGGTGAGGTCAACATATATTCCTGTATAGAAATAGTGAAATCACTCTTAAGATATCAATTCAAAAATTTGAAAATTAATTTAACATGTATGATATATAATTGGTTGACTACACAATAAATAAACACGGTATAAAAACAGGAAGCAAGAAACAGGAAGTGCATTCCGAAAGAGGCCCGGGTAAAAGTAAATTTGTAAACAACTCTTTAACCTTGAAATCAGCTGAATTAAAAACGATGTGTCGCATATACCTGTATAAAGAATGTCACAGACTTCACATTCCAAGCGTGTTCATTTTCTGCCATTGCTTTTCTTAATCTTTATTAAGAAAACAAATACCTTTTGCTTATCAACAATGATATCACTCAGACCATTACCGAGTTAGACTTACCTTGTCTGAGTCTGTTAATACCTTGTAGTAAGACTTACCTTTCTTGTTTTCTTGATACAGTACACATGGGCGCTCTCCCAATGTCTGTTACACGATGTACAACGGAAGTACCCGTATCTCCGCTCTAAAGGCGGTATTTGTCTTCTTCGTCCTCGTCCTCGTCCTCCACTCATTCTTTTTACCGAAAGACTTTATTTTTAACTCAACCGAGTTTTTTCCAAGTACCGTCATAGCCTATCGTTGTAGTTTCACTTTCGCTTGTTATGCCGTAATTTTTAGGTTTGAGAAATTGTGTTAATCTTTTACTTTCCTTGATGTGAAATATTATTTTCAAACCGTGATTTACAGTCCAAATTATGGGATGACAATGGTTAAGGACAGATCGCAAAATCAAGATATTTTTTTGTGTATTTGTGTAAGACTTCCATTATACAGAATGTCACGATCTTTTTTTTAAATATTTAGAATGTAAATGACAATTTATGATGACTTCTCTCTAATTCTTGCACGAATCAAAGTGCAAGGAAAATGACCGTCACTTACGCATGGTATTGATAATATAAAACTACTGTTTAAAAGGTTTTTGTATCAATATTCTTCATTCTTCTTAGTAAGTTGTAATAAAGATAGTATAACAATTTTCACAAACAGAAATATTGATAGGTATGCTTACCTTTGGCATAATATTTTATTGTAAATAACAAGTTTTTGAGCTCGTAATGTTCCAAATGCATTTTTGCGGATAAATAAGCAGTTGTTGTTTTTTTAAAGTTATAACTTTAACTGGACTAGGGACAAAATATAAATAATATTTATCATATACTGAAAAAGCCACCGATATATCAGAGTTATGACAAGGTCTGAATATCTTTATCATAGGTGTACAGTAATTAGGAAAGTGTATTCATGTTCCTGTCTATACCACGTGGGTTTCCTCTGGGTACCCCGTTTTCCTCCCACATTATGACCCTCTGCACGCTAACATCCGTGTCAATAAGAGTTACAGATATAAGTAAACACAACTTCCTTCATGATTGTTGTAAAATATGTAAAGGTCATATATAAGAAAAATTGTGAAAACACAATTATTACTTAAATATATTTGAAATAAACTATTTATGTTTAAACAGTTTTACCAACTGTTTATACTCGGTGAATATTTTGTGACTCTTCACAGAAAATAACAACGGGGTTTGACTTTGTAATATTATATTATTAGTTGTTGTACGGAGACGGAACAGGAATATGATGAAAGATGAGTTATTATTCCAAAATCATGTATCTGCATGTGGATAGGCTTGGAAGCAGTAGTGTTAGAATAGCTGTAGAAAATATTGGGATGCTATAGACTTGTCGGAGTGTAGATTTAGGATAATGCTGATGTGAGTGCTATTAGTATTAGCATTTATACCCTTGTTGGCAAGTTCGACTTTCATAAAAACTCTGATGCACCGGAGAAGTTTGACTATGCGTCAGAGCAGACTTAAGTCGAATTCGTGCCACATCCTCACTAACTTTTTGAAGTCCCCAAGCTAGTTTACAAATGTCATCAGAAACAGTTTTTGATGAAATGACTTTGCAGGATAATTGTGCATTCTGTAATATTTTTTAACTTAAGACAGCTGTGATAATAATTTTAAGGTGAACATGTCTTAGAAAGTTACGATACAATATATGTTATGCTATTGTGTGTTTCTTATATACATATACATATATGTATTTCATAACTAACACATGTATTTTACTAACAAGAGGACCATGTGGGAGATTAGCCCATGGCTAAACATGTATTTATCCTTAATAAAGAATGTCGATTATTCTTATTACTATTAAAGGTGAATCCTCTTGTAATGTCTGTAATACAGGGAGAGGAAGCGAATACAGTGTGGTTCGACTATGGTGGACACCCTGTGGTTGTTCTAGGATTTCCATAATTAATGTCTTCAAGCGTAGCATTGTATTCGGTTGAACTATTGTAATGCCGATGTCCATGATTAAGCTTTGGTCTCCTTTGAAGAGTGAACAAACACATTATGTTAGAATGACTTCACTCTTGACTTCGCGCAGATTTTCTACAGAATCGACAAAGCCATGACATCCCTATGACACTTCGGAGCAAAGTGGTCTACTTTAATAAAAAATTATATATTTACAGAACGGGGAACTACCTGTACGGTTGTTGCTTAGATGGTACTTTTTCTATAAAATACGGACAAGGAATAGCACGATCAGGGAAATTTCAGATAAAAACTTATTTTCCCACGTTTCACTGCCGAACGATGACCATTCATTCAATGCCGTAATTGTTCTTTTGTTTCACCAAAATATATCAAGCCACAGAGGACACATTCACTACCATATACAACATAAGAGGTTTAGAAATTCAGTATTCCAAAGCTTCTGGTATATTATTCATTTTTTTGGTAGAAAACTGTTGTAAGAATATACTGCATGTCATATAATGTTAAATTCCACACTTTGAAATTAAAAGTTACCCTCTAGCGTGTCTTAAATGTTTTACCCGTCAGAGTTAATAAAACTAGCTCTGTTAGTCAGATTAGCGATTTCTCATTCAAGATAAATATCAGTTTACTTTTTCATCATAAAACGTTATACCTTCACGATGCACATATGATAAAAAGGTTGTTTTCCATTTAGATGTAAGCATTCAACGGTATGTTTCACAGAATAGCAAGGGTTGTCAGAAGTAGATTTATCAGAGATACAATCAAGAACTTCTCTGTGCTTCCATTCCTAGGATATGTTTCAGGTTAGGTTTTATCGTTACTGATACGGTGAGATTGTAAAGTTGCTTATCAAGGTTCAACAAGCTCCCTGGAAGAGGCTATAGTCACCCGAAATTGGAACCCCATGATAGGCCATATTCAAAGACACCAATTAAAGATTACCTTATATGTGTAATTCTAATATATTGGACTTGTACATTAATTATTAAAATGCTCCATAGCGATGTATAGCGATGTTAACATAGTCAATAATAAGACATTAAGGCTTAATCAAAATAGTTCGTCTGACTTATAACATGTCATTCTCTTTTGAAGCCCAACTGAATGCTACGATACGGGGCCTAATTTCTCTTCAACTAACTATGGAGAGGCATGCCAGCCTCAAAAGTAAATGATTATTGCTATGGACATGCACAAAAATCATAGTATAATGCCCGAGTAACATATTTTACCGGAATATCTATGTAAAACCAAGGGCATTGTGGCCGTTATGATCACATAAACTTTATATAAAGTGCCCTTTCGTAACATTGAATGCTTTTATGAAAATGCTACACATGTCATACACATTAAAGTTATTTTCAGTTTCAAAGTTTATACCATGTTTAGCGCATTCATGACATCAAAAACAGTTATGAAATGGCACGTCCTGTCAAGTTCATTTATCGATTTAGGTTACGTAGGATTTGTGTTCTTGTTTATTATCTCCTAAAATATATTACCATGGAATTTTATTATGATTTAAGTCGTTTCGCATGGAAACACCTATCTTATTTTGAGGCTAGTAAACCTCTCTACGGCTAGTAAAAGAGAAATTAGGATCCGGATGACCTAGGTATATATATGGACTTCAGATAATATGTCATTTCATAATATGCATTTGGGTCGCTTAAGAGAATGACAAGTTATAAGTCCGGTGAACTATTTTATGAAGACATCAGCCTTAATGTTTTATTATTGACTAAGTTAACCTCGCTATGGAACAACGTGATAGTTGAAGTACAAGTTCAATGTATCCAAACTACATATATAAGTTCTGATCTGTACTTGGGGTATTTGAATATAACCTATCAGAGGTTGAACTTTAGGATGACTATAGCCTCTTTCAGGGGGCTTGTTTAACCTCAAATTAAATTGTATTGTTATGTGGTAATATTGTCGTTTTATTTAAGTGGTAAGACTGTAATGTTTTTAATTGTGGTAAGATTGTTATGATGGTAATTTCGAAAGACTGTTATGCAAAGTATGTGGTAATCATGTGATTTTGTCATGTTACTAATGTGGTGAGACTGTTACGTTTGTGTTATAAGACTGTTATGTTTGTGTGGTAAGACAGTAATGTTTGTATGGTAAGATTGTTACGTTTGTGTGGTAAGACTATTACGTTTGTGTGGTAAGACTATTACGTTTGTGTGGTAAGACTGTCAAGTTTGTGTGGTAAGACTGTAGAGACTGTTAAGTTTGTGCGGTAAGACTGTTATGTTGGTTTGGTAAAACTGTTACGATTGTGTGGTAAGACTGTTATGTTGTGTGGTAAGACTTTTGTGTCAGTGTGGTACATATACTCCTGGAATGCCATTCATGTGTTAAGACTATGATGAGTGGCAGTTTATCAATACACAAATAACAAATGCAGTGTTAAGCTAAGAAAAATCAATTTGTAAATTACAAAGGTTTAGAAATAAAAAAAAACATCACAGTCAATAAAACAAATCACAGTCAATTGTTTTTGCATTTCATGTATCGCTATAGTTACCACTTCAAAATCGGTATATTACTACAGTCTTAATCAAACTAGAATTTTTGTTTATTGTTTATTTGGGGTTTTTCACTATCCATCGCTTTTGGGGCAAACGATTTTGCAAGTAGTCTAGCATGTTTGTAGTTCATCATTAAATATTAAAAGATTTTTTTTTAAAAGGAGAAGAAAAAAAAGAAATTTTCTTTCTTAGTGCGATTTGTTGACATACTGGAAAGTACATTTTTAATGTACCGCATAAAACCTGTCTTTTGTGTTATATCGATAAACTTTACATCTCGCCTTTAGTTGCTATAGAGAATGCCTGATTAAATTAAAATAAAAAGTGGTTTATTCCTTTGAAGAAATAACAACTTATAAGGATTTTAATACTTTTATGAGTCGAATGTGAATGTCATTCTCCTAGAACATCTTGGTCTATAGGACGTTTGTATCAGTGCGCTCTGTAATACTCATAACAGTCAAATGTAAATGTCATCCGTCTTGAACATCTTGGTCTAACAGGACGCTTGTATCAGTTCGCTCTAGTTGTGGCGCTGTTGGTGCTGTGGAGAGGGCTTCCTGATTTCATCCCAATAAAGCAATTGGAGAACAGTCGTAAAAATAAGGCTTGAAGCAGTCGAGACAAATTTTTATTCTGAATGATATAATAAAGGTGGAACTCCATGATGATGATGATGATGATGATGATGATGATGATTATGAAACAGTGTAATAATGATCATGATATTTATGAAATGATGATGATGATGATGAGGATTATGTTAAGATGATGATGATGAGGATGAATGGCGAGATAATGATGAGGATGATGTTAAAAGATCATGAGGACGATAATAATCATGAAATAGTGATGATGATGATGACGATGATGAAGATGATAAATGGTGTGCATGAGTGAATGAGTGGTGTGTGTGTGTTCATTCATATTCCAAGTGACATATATAATTGAAATTCCTTAAAAAACCCACCAAAAACCAACAACCACAATATCTATATATACAGGAAGAACAATTTATATTTACCAGTAAACCATTTTAAACGGGCGCTAGCGCTGGGTAAAAGCACCAAAACTTGTAAACAACTATCTTGCCCTAAACAGTGTATATCTTAAACCCGATATATTTCACATACCTGTATCAATAATGTCAAAAAGTAGGTACTAAAGTGCATATCATAACTAACACAGCTATTTAGCAACAAACGGTTTAAACCCATCAGTAATATCCCGTCGGTTTAACGGAAATGTGTCACTGTCTGTGTCTGCTGATACTCTTTAGTTAAAGTTACCTCCTTGTATGTACCTTTAATTGTCTGTGTCTACTGTACTCTGTAGTTAGACTTACCTTGTATGTACCTTTCATTGTCTGTGTCTGCTGATACTCTGTAGTTAGACTTACCTTGTATGTACCTTTAATTGTTTGTGTCTACTGGTACTCTGTAGTTAGACTTACCTTGTATGTACCTGTCATTGTTTGAGTCTACTGATACTCTGTAGTTAGACTTACCGTGTATGTACCTTTAATTGTCTGTGTCT